ATTAGCAAGTATCTTTCTCCCTCCCTCTCTCTCTCTTTTTTTTAAAAGATACGTTTCACTGATTTTTAGAAAGAGAGGAAGGGACAGGGATAGAGAGATAGAAACATCGATGAGAGAGAAACATCATCGATTGGCTGCCTCCTGCACACCCCTTACTGGGGATCAAGCCCACAACCAGGGCATGTTCCCTAACTGAGAATGCAACCAGTGACCAGTTGGTTCCTGGGTCAGTGCTCAAACACTGAGCCACACCAGCCTGGCAGTATGTGGACAGGAAGGAAACACATGAAAGTTACATGTTTTCAGATCTGAGTAGATGGTAACATTTTTCTCAGAATAAACTGTCTTTAGTACTTGATAATGACTATTAATAGAAATAGTTAAGTGAACTCATGTTTGGAGTTAAAGGTTTAAAATATGAAAGAAATTATTTTGGCATGTCTTTCTTAGATGATGCTTAGTTACTGCTATTTTCAGGTAATATTAAGGAGAGGGACATGATGAAAAAATGTCCTTAACATACATTGTTTCCTGGATAGGTCATGAATATTTGGACCTGGCCTGGTAGAGGAAAGAGGCAGAATGGAAGTTAACAGCCATCTATAATAACAAAAGGGTAATATGCTAATTAGACCAGACGTCTTCCGGACTTCATTTTGGACATCCTTCTTGATGAAGCTGGGGCCAGAGGGAAGCCAGCCTGGGTCCCGGGTGCCTGCAGGTGCAGGAGTAGGGAAGCAGCCTGGGTCCTGGGTGCTGGAGGGAAGCCGGTGCTGACAGCCAGGAGAAGGAAGGCCTACTCTTGCACAAATTTTTGTGCATCAGGCCTCTAGTTGAAGAATAAAGAACTGTGTTGCTGAATTGGAAAGGCTATTTCCCAAAGTGTTTATAACTATGATGATTCATTAGTAGCGATTTTGTGCCTCCAGCATTGAACTACATTTCTGCACTGCGCAGCTTCTCTGGGTATGCCAGGGTTCGACGCCAAGGATCTGCCATGCAAGTGTGGGGCTTTTCTTTTCCCCCCTTTCCCCCAGGTCATGGCATTTTATATGGAATCTGGCAAAAAAGGAGCTTGGTGACTGCACCTTTGCCTTTAGCACCAAATACAAAGCTTGACGTACAGTAAAGGCCCTCAAGTAATATTTGTTGAAGGAATGATGGAGTAAATGATGAGAAGATTTAGAAGCAGCTTTAACCATTCGAACAAGAATTTTTGAGCTCCTTTCATGTGAAAGGAAGTCTCAGTTATATAGAGTCTTGGTTTTTACTCTCACGATGTTCATTATCCAAGTCACACAGAGTTTACATAGTACAAGACTCACAGAGAGTCGGCACCAGACGTTTTTCCATGCCTAGAACTTTGGTATCCTTTAATCATGTGCCTCAAATCTAGTGTGGGCTCTACTGTATAATCAAGAAGGGGAAATATAGACTAAAGCACCTAAGAATTTAAGGAGAGGTGCATCAGGAAGGAGAGAGACCTATACTTCCTAATTTCTATACTGAAAAGTACCACGGAATAAAAACATGGGAAAAAAGGCTCCGAGAACTGTCTGGAAAGTTGCTCTAATTACTATTTTTTTAAAAATATATTTTATTGATTTTTTTACAGAGAGGAAGGGAGAGGGATAGAGAGTTAGAAACATCAATGAGAGAGAAACATCGATCAGCTGCCTCCTGCAAACCCCCTACTGGGGATGTGCCTGTAATCAAAGTACATGCCCTTGACCGGAATCGAACCTGGGACTCTTCAGTCCACAGACAGACGCTCTATCCACTGAACCAAACTGGTTAGAGCTAATTATTATTTTTAATGGTGGCCTAATATTTCCACTGTGGATAGACCATAGTTTATTTACTCATTTCCCTATTAATAAACATTTACCTTCTGTCTAATGTTTAGCTCCTACAAACAATGCTACAAATAAGCATCCTTGTGCATTAAAACGGCAAGGATGCTTTTTTAATAACCCCCAGTGGGGTAGAGGAGACAGATAAGTCTTTAAAAATAGCAGCCATAATTTTGTATGCCTCTCATGGTAGAGGCTGTATATTCAAAACATACTGTAGGGTAGGTGTTATTACCCCACTTCTTTATACATGAAGAAACTGAGCTTCAAGAAGGCTATGCAAGTTGCAGTTTGGCAAGAGCTGAAACTGGATTTGAACCCCTCTCTGCTTGAGTAATGGAGAGAGTGATGGTGGAGAGATCAGAAGGCCAGGGATGGAATTCCTGTTCTCTGACTTAAACTAGCTCTGTAACCTCAGACACTTACCATCTCTTGGGCTACAGTTTCTCCACTGGAAAAAGGAGAGAGTTGGAATACACTGTTTCTAAGGTTATTCCAGCTAAGACAGTCTATGATTTTAAAAAATGTACATGCTAGGTATAGGTAATTTGTAATACAGTGATACATTTTCTTGTTTCTTAGAAGCATTTGCCCGCCTCATATTTTGGCATTCCTGATGTTAGGATAATTTTCCAAATGTTGGGAAATTTGAAGTTTATTTTACATTGTTTATTTTAAATGATTTGTTTTTCTCTGAAAATCTGTTTTTAAAGAAATTGTGCTTTTTTGCAATTAATGGTATCTTACAGCATAAGAAATTTATTAGTTTTAAGGGGAAATAGCAAGAGGACATCTCTGAGTTTGGGCTGGTTAGTGAACACTCATCAAAGACAAAGGATTTGAATGGGATGTAAAAGAATAGGGACACTTTACATAGTAGATAGAGAGCAGCTAGGGTAATTGCTTGGCTTCTGTGGGTCCTTTAGGTCTGTCTGTTCTTTCTTTCTTTAATTTTCCCTCCCTCCCTCCTTCCTTCCTTCTTTCCTTTGAGACATGATCAATGTTATGTTGGTTAACTGGCTCTCAAAAAATTGCCTAATTTTAGCATTTTCCATTTCTGTGCAGTAAATTTAAGAATTCTGGTCACTAATTACATTATGAGTATGAGGGAAGGGTTCCCCCTATACAACGGTGCTCCTATACCAGTGGGTGTTCTGCCATTCAACTCAATTCTGACAGATAGCATCAGATCCCACAGGTTATGGGCTCAGTCCCACAAGACTGGCCTGTGTCCCCCTCTTTTCCCCACTCCGGATGCCAGTCACAATCCCAGGTCTGTCTGACCAACTGGCTATAGATGGGAGGTTCCAATGACCCTCTCCTTGGGTTCAATTAATTTGCTAGAGTGACTCACAGAATTCAGAGAAATATTTTACTTACTGGATTACTGGTTTATTATAAAAGGAAGGATATAACTCAGGACCGGCCAGATGGAAGAGATGCATGGGCAAGGAAAGGAATAGAGGGTGCAGAGCTTACACACCACTCTCCCCAAATCTCTATGTGTTCACCAAGCTGAAAGTTTTCCAAACCCAGTCCTTTGGGTTTTTATGGAGACTTTATTACATAGCTATGATTGATTAAGCCATTAGCTTTTAGTGACTGATTCAAATTCCAGTCCCTTTCCTGCCCTGGAAGTTAGGGGGTGGGGCTGAAAGTTCCAATCCTCTAATTACAGGGTTGGTTCTCCTGGTTACCAGCCTCCATTCTTAGTTTTGGTCCAAAAGTCACCTCATTAACATAACAAGACACCTATACTGATTTCATCACTTGGGAAATTCCAAGGGTTTTAAGATCTCTGTGCCAGGAGAGGTTGAAGGCCAACTATACATTTCTTATTATAAATCACAATATCACAAAATACTTCCATCATGGCTGATTTCAAACTGCCAGTGGGAGGTGAACCTATGGAGTTGGGAAGAGATGCCCATGATTGGCTATCTTGCAAGCTGGGATTAGCTGATTGCAGCACACCACTTACATACAGTGAGATGCACTGCATTTTTTCAGTTGAAACAAGAATTTGTTTATCTAAGATATATTTGACACTTACCAGATATCAGGTGCACATGGGCAGCAGATAAATAAGAACTAGTTTTTACTCTCCAAAATGTCATAGTCTAGTGAGCTGGTTGAATGAACTTTAAAATAAAGAAAGGAATCTAGTAATGAGAATGGTTGATTAGCTCCCTCTTTTTTTTCCACTCAGAACTAAAGACATAGCAATTAGATCCTCAGCTATTTGGATGAGAAAAGAGAGAACAGGTTTGTAACTGAATTATTAGATTTTAGAATGGTGGAGCAGGATGTTTAAAAGCCTGTTTCTATGGAGGTCAAGTAAAGTATAATAGATTTTTCCTCCCCTTCTGTATGTGTTGGTGTGTGTGCATGATTTTTAATCACCTTTATTGAAGTACTAGCGGCCCGGTGCATGGATTTGTGCACCGGTGGGGTCCATTGGCCTGGCCTGTGCCCTCTTGCGATCCGGGACCCCTCAGGGGATGTCAGACTGTGGGTTTTGGCCCGGTCCCCGCAGGCCAGGCTGAGGGACCCCACTGGTGCATGAATTTGTGCACCCGGCCTCTAGTATGCATATAAGATCTTTGGTTAATCTCTTCCTGCCCTCCCCTTCCCCCCTTCCTCTGAGATTCATCAGTCTGGTCCATGTTTCCATGCCTGTGCATTGAGTGTTTGCCCCCTGGTGGTCAGTGCGCATCATAGCTAATGGTCAAATGGTCACTTAGGCTTTTATATACAGAGATAATTTATATACAATAAAATTCACCAAATTTAAGGGTACAACTCTACCAGTTTTACAAATGTCATACCCCATCACAACAGAATATTTATTATCCTAAGTTCCCTTGTGTTCTTTCCCAACTCCCTACAACCCATCAGGCAACCACTGTTCTGATTTCTCTCACCATAGATTAGTTTTGTATATTTTCCTTTTGTGCCTGGCTTCTTTCTCTCAGCATAATGAGTTTGGTATTTATCCATACTGTTTTAGATATTAATAGATTTTTTTCTTTTTATTGCTGAGTAGTATTTTACTGTATGAATGGACCACGGATTATCCATCCATTCATCATACATTTGAATTGTTTTCAGCTTTTGGCTATTATGAATAAAGCTGCTCTCAACATTTGTATATATGTCTTTTATTGACACATATATGCCCCCCTTCCTTTTGAGGGGAGCATAAATACCTAGGAGTAGGATTGTAGCATCAAAAGGTAGTGTGTGGGTAACTGTACAAGAAACTATTCATGTCTTACCTCACATGAGGTAATGGTCTCAGATCAGAATAGGAGGAAAGAGAAAGTATATTGGGGAGGTTTTGTTCTTTTGGCATGTACTAATGTGAGAATTTTTGGAAATATGATTTTAACTCTGGATGAAGGGTGGATATTGGAAAAAAATGATGTTAGGTAAGACTTTACAAGCTTGTAAAAGAAAGCATAGTTGGAAAGAGAAAACCATGAGTTTTTTTTTTTAACAGTTTTATTGAGATTTAATTTATATACATAAAATTCAGCCATTAAAGTGTATAATTCAATAAATTTTGGTATGATAGAGCTGGAAAACCGTCACCACAATCTGATTTTACAACATTTCTATTATCTTCAAAGGTAGTCATTTACAGTAAAAAACCATGGTTTAAAAGTTAGGAAGACTGGTGTTTTAGTCTGAGCCTTACTAGTTAGCAACTGTATTACCTTGGAAAGCTAAATCTCAATTTCCACCCCTTTGAAATAGAGATGAGTTAACTTCCTTTACAACATTTTCATAAGAACTATAAATAATGCACATGAAGCACTTGGCAATAATAAATGTTAAATAAATGGTAGTGTTTATTGTTGAACTGTGCCTGCATCTTTGTAATTTTTGTGGTATTTTTGTTTGTATTCTTATAGCTTCTACAATAGTGTGCCCTTTACTAAAGATATCTTGAAACATATCTTTTTAAAGGAAATTAAGTAGAATGGAAAGAGGAAGCCTGGATTTTAGAATACTCGGGTTTTCTGGTTCTACCATTTAATTGCTCCATTGGGCAAATCACTTTACTGTGTCTGTTTTCTCATGAGGAACTAGAGTAATAACATCCACCTTGCAGGGTTGTTTTGAGTGTTTGAGGAAAAATACATGACATGTTGATATAGTAGGTGCTCAATTCATTGGAACTGTTATTTTATGATATCAGGAGCTACCATCTTCAAAGTAATTACATTCAGGAATAAAGTTTATGTACAGCCCTGGCCAGCGTGGCTTGGTTGGTTGAGCATCATCCTATGCACTGAAATGTTGCCGGTTAGATTCTCAGTCAGGGCACATGCCCAGATTGTGGGTTTGGTTACTGGTCAGGTGCATATCAGAGGCAACCTATTGATGTTTCTCTCTCACATTGATGTTTCTCTCTCTCTCTCCCTCTCTCTCTCAAATCAATAAAAACATATACAAAATTCAAGGCCTAGATGGAAATTTTGCTTATGTACCATGTGTACATTTGCTGTACAAATTTTTATATTTTAGTACTAGTACAATGCTCCATACATAGTCCTTACTAGCATATTTGATTAAATAAATGCAGAGATGAGATAAAAAAGAAGAAAAAGAAATTTTCCCATTCTGTTCCAATCTCCCTGAATATTTAGGTATCTGGGAGAAAGCTTCATTTGCTAAGCTTCAGGTTTATTCACTTACCTCCTCTCATTTGGCAGGTTGGGGGTGGAGTGAGATAGAGAAAAATTAGAAATTATCATAAGGACAAAAATTACAACAATAATTGCCTACATTTGTAAATACCTATTTATATATTTTAAAGTACTTTCATGTTATTTCTTAATATTTATTTCTCATGATAAGCATATCAGGCGATTGGAGTAAATAGTCTCATTTTGGTGAAAAGAAAGCTAGGTTCAGAAGTGAGCTTATTCATGGTTCTTATGGAGCTAATAAGTGGCAAAGCCAAATGAGGGAATAAATAGGTAAATGTGTGTGTGGCTTGTGAGCATAGACTGGGTCACCTGTTCTGGAAAGCAGTCTGGCATTACGGTACTTGAGCAAATTAACTAGTTGTTTACTCTATGACCCAACCACTTCATTCCTACAGGTGAACATGGGAATGTCCCATAGTTCCCCAGGAAGATGTGTCCAGTTATTCACTGTTGTGTTACCAGTGGAGGAGAGGAGGTATCTGGGTGACCATTTCTGGGGGAGGCAGAGATAGACTGGTGGGTGCACATCGCATAGTGTCTATAGTTAAAAGCAACAGATTCGATAAAAGCAGCATGAATGGATCTTAAGAATATAGTGCTTGGTGACAAATGTCAGAGTATGGGGAACATATATTCTTTATGTGAACTAAGAATTCACAAGCCTAGCACAGTACACATCTTGTAAGAACCCGTACATTAAGTACTCATTAAGCACATTACAATGGCTGCCTGTGGGGCCCAGTGCATGGGAGTAGGTTATGGTGATAAAAAGGAGTAAATAAATAAGGAACAAAATGATAATGTGCCATGTACCAGTATGGCTACTTCAACCTTCTGAATGGTGATGTTAAAAAACAAAACAATGCCGAAACCGGTTTGGCTCAGTGGATAGAGCGTCAGCCTGCGGACTGAAAGGTCCCGGGTTCGATTCCGGTCAAGGGCATGTACATTGGTTGCAGGCACATCCCTAGTAGGAGATGTGCAGGAGGCAGCTGGTCGATGTTTCTCTCTCATCGATGTTTCTAACTCTCTATCCCTCTCCCTTCCTCTCTGTAAAAAATCAATAAAATATATATATAAAAAACAAACAAACAAACAAACAAAAAAACAAAACAAAACAACACACTGTTACTTGATATAGTTTGAATACCTTTTATGTGATCAGCTCTGTTACTACTACGTTTAACCAGAGTCCCTGACATCATTGCTAGTATGTATGGTGAAAGATGTTCCATGTGAAATAAAGTCTGGAGTGGTTTCTCAAGACTCAAGTTAAATTTTGCACAGAAAGCAACATCTTTTTTTTTTTTTTAAAAAGAAGATTTACAATACAGTACACTTGAGTTTGTACAATTTAAACATGAAGTTCCTTTAATTTTTATGTTTTGGATAATAGACACATGTGTCATGCAGTACTATTAGTTTTTACAGGATTAAAATGGAATCTACTAAATATTTAATTCTAAAATGATAAGCTATCCTTATCATTCATAGATTCACAAGGTGCTCAGTATCCTATTATATCTAGAAATAGTTGTCTGCATGTATATTCTCCTTAAAGGATCTAAATGTGTGATTATTTTTTGCAGATACGTATATCCCCTTTTGTTGTCTTATTTGTTTTCCAAGTTAAAGTTGAAGTATAATAGATCCTCCCCCGCCCCCCAGTTTCTTTAATTTTTTTTTTTTTTTTGGCGTAAAACCATGCAGATTTACTGAGTTGCAGTTCTAGAGGTTAGAATTCCACAAAGGTTGGCAGGGCTGGTTCTGGAGGCCCCCAGGGAGAATCCTTTTCTTTACCTTTCCAGCTTCTAGAGTCGGCCTGTGTTTCTTGGCTCTTGGCTCCATGTCACTCTGACTTCTGCTTTGATCATCATTTTGAATAGGTTGCCTTTTAATTTACCTTCCCTTTCTACTTACTATTTGTGATCCTTCTGAAATGATAGTTATGTAAGATGGTTATAATTATCTTTTGTACATAGTGTGCATTTTTGTAACAGCAACTACCCTGCCTGTTTAAAAGAGTCCCAATAGTTAAATTCAGCTGAACATTGTCAGCCTTGGAAAGTATTCATCCATCTCTACTGTGGCGATGCTGCTGGTGGTATTCAGTAGGCGCACTCCGCTGGGACAAGAAGGTCACGGAATTATTTTAATGACAGGTATAGAAGTTGAAGAGAAATTGATTACACCCTTAGGGATCCCAGGGCCCACCTGTTTGTGAGTGTTGTGCCGACCAGAGATTCAGGTTCACCTGTAACATGCCGAGGAAGGCCTGGCTCTGTGTAAGAGTTTCGTCTGCAGAACCACGCGATAAAATGTTGGCAACAAAGACTTGATTTTAATGTTGTCTTTTATCTTTCTCAACAACCTAAACGAAATAGTAGAAAAGGGAAGCGTTGCTATCTAGTTGAAGGGATACAGAGTCAGATATGTGAAACTGTTATTCATAAGTGTGATTCTGAACTGTTCTGCAATTTCGTTTCCTCGTCTACAAAGTGAGGATAATGCTATGTCTCCTTTATTCCTCTCAGAGGATCAAATTGTAGGATTAGGTAATTTATTGAATTCAAATTGCTTAGTGCATTATGAATATATTGATGTGGTTATTTTACATATTATTCTTTAAATGTACTGTTCTCTTCCAGAATGATAGCTTTTCTACTGAACTAATATAGCATCTTCCAGTAATATCTCTGGTGATTGGACATTTTACAGTTGATGTATTAAGATCGGGAGCTTTAGTATCTCTTTGAGGTTTTGGCAACTTTTAGTCTTATTAAAGTTTTAGGTATGCTCGAAAACTGTGCTCTTTTCATTTACTGGAACCAACAGAGAAGGTCATAAGCAATCATTAAAATCTCCTTGCATCTCCATGATTGTTGCAATTTGCAAAGTCTGATTGCATTGCAACAGGGTGTGAAATGGCATGACTTAGATTGGTGTGAATGTCCAATTAAGTCTCCATTGAATCTTTCAATGTGTGGAACTCATGAGCCTAATTCTACAGGTGTTTGACGAATCAGTGTAATGAGTTGCTCTCTGAGTTGGAAAATTTGAGTTCAGTCTGTTACTTAGAATGTATATACACTTGGGCATATCTTCACTTCTACAGAGTATCCTCCTAACTGGTTAGATTTCTGCCTGCTTAAAGATTCTCCATGCTATGAGATCCAAACTGTGGTGAGGCTGTCAAACAAACTTAGTACATGCCATTTTGTAGAGCCTCTGAGTGAGCTACCTCTAAGCTGTAGGTTTGTCCAGAAACTGATGAAGATTCTGGAGGTTTGAGTAAATATTTAAAATACATTTATATGGATTTCTGCAGAAGCCTTTTATCTGTGATCATTGTTTAATCTGAGTCATTAGTAAGACTTTCTCCCCCTTTCATGTAACGAGGTACAAATACTTTCAATTCTGCCCACACATGGCTTTTGAATCCAACCATCTCTCCCACTCTATGCCACTGATTTGATATTGGTTACTATCTTTCACCTGGGCCATTTGAACATTTGCCTAAATTGTGTCCTTGCATCTATAGACAGCTGATCTCCCCACATATCTTTACAAAACAAAATTATGATATAATTCCTGTTTAAAAACCTTTTATTGATACCCATTATAAGAAAGGTAAAGTCCAAACAGCGTAGGTTTTTTACCATCTTGTCCTAGTACAACTTACCATTTTTACCCTTTGTTTTTTCTGAAACATTTGATCTTGTGACCATGCTATACTTATTTCTCCAGCCTTTCCCCAAATGGACTATGCCTTTGCATTCTTCCATGTCTTGTATATGTTTTTTCTTGCTAGTATGTGCTATTCTCATTTTTCCTGGAAAATCCCTGCAACTCCTTTAGTACCTAGCTCAAATATTCCCTCTTCTAAGAAACCTTCCTAGACTTCTACAGGTCGTGACAGTCTTCTATAGTTTTAGCACTTTGACTCTCATGGCATTTGTCTCATTTTATTGGAATTATTAATTTCTTTGTTTTCCTTAACTAACCAGACAATGGGTTCTTAGAGTGCATAGTTATACCATTTCTCCATTTTCTTGTCTGCCTCCCCCCACCTAGGATCTAGCACACCTAATATGGCTGTTGAACAAAAAGATACTCACCAGTTGAACAGTGTTTGCCAACATGGTCTCCTGTACAACAGTGTTGAGATTACTTGGACCTTTGAAAATATTTATATTTAAGTAAGATGTAGGTACATGATATTAGAAATACGTCAGAAACTTGGCAAAGGTATGCATATATGATAATATCTAATGCTATTTTATCTTGTTAAAGCAAAAAATCATGCAAATTCCACTCATTTGATGTCAGTCTCTCAGTCCCTTAGTGACTTTCATTCAAACGAATACTTTCTGTAGAGTAGTAATGAAGGTGAAGTGCTTTTAGAGCCAGACTATGTTGTATGAAGAAGCAATTGTTACTTAAAAATGGGTTTTACTAGTGATCAGTTGGATGTCAGTGGGGGATAACACTACAGAGAGGCCCATGGAAGTGAAAAAGATTTATTACGTTCATTTAAGCCCAAGGCATGAGCATATGACATTGGTGTGTTTGAATGTCACTAGGTCACAGTAAGGGGAGAGCAAGAAAGGGAACTTGTGGTAGGGATCAGCCTTATCACACAGGTATGCTTGAGTGGAGTATTCACAGACTGTGGGAATTTTGAGGCATCAAAAGAAAAAAAAGAAGTTTAAACTTTGCAAGGCACAGAAAAATCTGCATTTCCATTACTAGAGCTGGTTGACTTCTATATCTTAGTTTTCTTATCTGGAAAATGGGCATAATAAATAGTACTAAGCTGCCATTGGGTTGCTGCAAGCACTAAATTGTAACGCTCAGCGTTTGGCCCTAGCTGGTTTGGTTTAGTGGATAGAGCATCAGCCTGTGGACTGAAGGGTCTTGGGTTCGATTCCAACCAAGGGCACATGCCCAGATTGCAGGCTCAATCCCTAGTAGGGGGCGTGCAGGAGGCAGCCGATCATTGATGTTTCTATCTCTCCCTCTTCCTTCCTCTCTGAAATCAATACAAATATATTTAAAGCTCAGTGCTTGGTTTCATAGAAAGTTCTTTTTATCTCTCAGTTTAAAGGTTTCTTGTATATGTATTGTTTTTACTGCACAAATAATACATGTTTAATATAGAGATGTCAGTCACTATGCTTCTGAACCTTTTAAAAAATATATATTTTTTATTGATTTTTTTTACAGAAAGGAAGGGAGAGGGATAGAGAGTTAGAAACTCAATGAGAGCCAGCAACCAAGGTACATGCTCTTGACTGGAATCAAACCTGGGACCCTTCAGTCCACAGGCTGACAGGCTATCCACTGAGCCAAGCCAGTTAGGGCACTTCTGAACCTTTTTATAACATGGCTCACTGGGGTCAAAGGACCAGGCTGCTCCTGCCAGAGGAAGGTGTTGCTATGGGGCTGCAGCCATACTAGACTCTTACACAGTTCCATAAAGATTGAAGAGATAATAACCATCAATTCCAGAACCCCATGTAGGGCTGATAATATGTTTCCAGAAGTGGAACATGCACTAAGGATGTGGACATTTTCATATTCCTTTTATTTTTTGTGACAGCCAAATCTTCCTTCAAATGATAGGTTATACCAACTTTCCAGAACTCCCCACGGCACAGCATTATCACTTTTTTTCTTTACTTTTCTCACTGTTATTGGCGAAAAGTTAACTCATTTTGTTTTACTTTGTGATTATAAATTTTTGATCAATGTAAAAGTAAAATATGGAATACTAGCTTTAAAAATGTCCTCAAGAAACAAACTGATGGTTGCCAGATAGGAGGAGTGTTATGGGTTAGGTGATAAAGGTGAAGGGATTAAGAAATACAAAACAGTCATGGGGATGTAAAGTATAGCATAGGGAATATAGTCAAGGATACTGTAATAATTATGTATGTTGTCAGGTGGGTACTAGACTCATTGGAGGCACCACTTTGTAAGTTATATAAATGTATAACCACTATACTATACTAGAGGCCCGTTGCACGAAGATTCGCACAATAGGCCTTCCTTCCCCTGGCTGCCGGCACCGGTTTTCCTCCGGCACTTGGGAACCAGGCCTTTGGTCCAGCTGTAGTGGAGAAGCCAAGCCTCGAGGCTTAGGTTCTCCACTGCGGCCGCAGTGAGGCTTGGCTTCTCCACTCGGGCCACAGCATTGAGGCTTGGCTTCTCTGCTCCAGCTGCAGTGGAGAAGCCAAGCCTCTTAAGTCTTCAGTTGTCTTCAGTCTTCAGTCGTCTTCAGTCTTCACTCATCTTCAGTCTTCAGTCGTCTTCAATCTTCGCTCAGCGCCTGCATATGCAAATTAACTGCCATCTCTGTTGGGTTAATTTGCATACTCATCCTGATTGGCTGGTGGGCATAGCGGAGTGACACCAATTTGCATGTTTCTCTTTTATTAGTGTAGATACCTGACACTAATAATATTGAGTGGCAACTGTAATTGGAAAAAAAATAATAAAAATAAACATACATATGTGAAATAAAATCCTCAAGGAATAAAGTGCATAGACTAATATCTAACAGCCTATAAATCACTCACTGGTTAAGAAGGTATTGTTGATCTCTGGTCTTTTGTCCTAGGAGCTCAGCTACTCACATTACATCATATACCTTGTGTTTCTGATGTTTCTGTTATTAAGTTGAGATTCATCATGGAAGTCTCCATTCTGAAAAAATATTGTTGAATGTAAAATAGTGAGGGAATATAGAAGATAATCTATGACTTGAGTTGAAGGTTGAGCCTTATTTTTCTGGCCAGAAATCCAAGGAATTGTCCTACCTGTGTTGGAAATGTTCTCCCTTAGCAATATTCAATTGCATGTTTACTTTGGCAATATAAAGTTTGTTTCTCCAAATGCTTACTTTCTTTATGAGACGCTACACTTATTTGCAGCAATTACTTTTTTACACTGTTTTCCCTTACTCAGCTTTTCTTAAAGTGATTGCAAAAAAAAAAAAAAATTAGGAAATTCAACACTTAGAATTATTCAAAGTTCTTTTATTTTGGTTTTAAATAAACATTTAGTGGCATATTGTATTACTGAGTCTTGAGAGCTTATCATTTTGGTGTCATATTCATGTCTTGTAATAGGTACACAAAGAAACCTTGACTACATGAATATGTATTATATGTAGCAATAATGTGTGGTCCTTCAGAGGAGAATATGAGATTTCTAACTTACCATCTGAATAAAATTTTCTAATGTTGCAGTTAGATTTATTTTAATTTGTACATACACTTTTCTAGTTCTTCTTGCACAAGACATAGTCTTTTGTTAAGGAATAGAGCCAAGCTAATTTGGTCAACATGACCAAAGCAGGACCTTACTGTCCTTTGGCCAAAAGTCATTGCAAAGCTTGAATAAAATAAAAATAACGGAAAAGAAAAAAAGAAAAATCACCTAAACAAATCATAACATTCATACAAGAACAGAGGTGCAAATATACAAACCCTACCAGTGAAGAATACATTTTGTAAACTGTCAATAAACTAATTGTAGTGTCTAAATGACTGTTCTGGCTTTGGAAGGAAATCCAAACAGAAAGTCCCCAGAATTTGCCCTCTTGCTATTAGCAAACACCGCCCCCCCCTCCTGTCTCTGTGCTTTTGTTCACAAATTATTCTCTGTGTGTTCTACCCACCCTTGTCTACCTAGGAAAGGTCTCTTGTACTTGATGCTCAGTCTTTGAATATCACCTCTTTTGTTAAAGCTTCTTGCATTTGTGACTGGGTCACCACCAGATGTATGTGTGTGTTTTCAGAGCTTGCGTGCGTTTGGGACTTATAACCTTTAATTTATCTGACACTGACACACCTCTTTGTGCCAGGCACTCTGCTTGGTACTGGATTTGAAAATGGCAAATAAAGTACCATCTTTGCTCAAGTACCAAGTTAAAACAATTAAAAGACTTTATTTTCTAGAGCAGTTTTAGGTTTACAGAAAAATGGAGTAGATAGTATAAACTCTATTCACAGATTCCCCTATCATTAACATCTTGAATTAACTTGGTACATTTGTTACAATTGATGGCTAAATATTGATACATGATTATTAGCTAAAACCTATATTGGTGTTCACTTTCTGTGCAGTGCAGTTCTATGTGTTTTAATAAATGCATAATGTCTGTATCTCTTCAGAGCAGTATTATACTAAAAATCCCCCGTGTTCCATTTATTTATCCCTCTCCTCTCCTCCAACCTCCTGGAAACCACCAATCTTTTTTTTTTTTTAAATATATTTTTATTGATTTCAGAGAGGAAGGGAGAGGGAGAGAGAGAGTCAGAAACATCAATGAAGAGAGAGAATCACTGATTGGCTGGCCACTGCATGCCCCCTGCCCGGAATCGAGCCTGCAACCCAGGCATGTGCCATTGACCAGAATGGAATCGGGACTCTTCAATCCACAGGCTGATGTTCTATCCACTTAGCCAAACCAGCCAGGGCCCACCAATCATTTTATTGTCTACTAGAGGCCTGGTGCACGGGTGGGGTCCCTCGTCCTGGCCAGTGATCGAGGCCTATCAGGGGGCCAGCCGGCCGGGGGGAGGGACCCTGGGAGGTTGGCCGGCCAGCCCCCCAATCAGGGCCTACTGGCTGGGGGGTGGG